TCTGCATTGCACAACACAGTACCTAGTACCTTTCTGTAGCACGTTAGTAGTTTATAGCTAACAATATCCTCACCCAAATGATTCTGTTAATTCTTCTTAAATCGGCGGAAGCAGAGTGCGCCCGCTTCGAACGCATTGAATGTGACATCTTTTTGGGCATCCATCCCAACACGATGTTTACTATGCGTTCCAGCGAGTCGGTCCCGTGATACACTCGTCGTCATAGGTGGCCTCGGAAAACTAGAGATACCACGAGATACGACAGGGTCTGTGTATCTTGGAACTCTTTCATGGACAACAGCGCAGCCAGCTCTCAATATCGTTTCTGGTCTATCATGTTTCTTGGTTCTTTTGCATTTTACAATTTCCGTAATGTGGTGTGAGCCTAATATTCTTATTCCAATTAAAATGTGTGACTTTCAAGTTGACGTGGTTAGGCATCGGGAAATTGTGTTCTTATAAAAATTTAGTTCCTCTAGAAATTAATTTTTATGTGTTCATGGAATCGTATTTCTACATTTCTTGCGATGCTTTTTCATTCTCGTATACATACGTATATATGATATCTTATGTAATTTGCGCGAAAAAATAAACTGCGGATTTTCGGTAGGTAAAAATTTATTGCCGGGTTCTGAAAACGAAAAAGTGGTGAAATCCTATTGGTAAATGAAGAAAAAATCCTCTAACGTGAGGTGTAGACACAGTGTCTGTTTTGTGGGTTTTTGATAACACAAAACCCATTGACGGTAAAACGTCGGTCTGTCTATGAACACCACTAGCGCCTAAACCGTACGTACGATATTTTTCGAATTAAATATTCCCAGGTCGATCTGGCTACACTCGACACGCCGCGATTTTGAAAAACGTTCTTCATAATTTGGGAGTTCTATACATGAAGCCCCACGGACATTTTAATTTTTTTTTCGAAAGCGGCTCCAAATGTTTTCTTTTAGTAAGAATAAAGTGAAGTACGCTTTTAAAGGTGACATAGGTCCAATTTTAAGGGTTATCTCAGTTTTTTGAAAATTTTACACGTCTGAACTTATTTTGTTGTCTTCCTACAACTTAAAAATTCAACATACAAATTTTTCTTTTAAAGATCATTCGTTCTAAGTAGTGAGTTCTTTCATTACGGTCATGCACATTAAAAAAAATTAGTTGTTTTCTCGCAATATTGCGTGCAATATGTGCCATATTAAAAAAAGGGGGGCCTGTGCCCTCAGAAATATGCATACCACCAGTAAAAAGATGCATTTTATTAGGTGGGATGTGTAACAATGACCTGAGCCGCTATAGAAAAATCGAAGTATAGTGCTGAAGCTTTATTATCATGGCTACTTAACCAAAGGTGTAAGCTCTCCTTATACAACAAAAGTTTCAGTGTACAAGACAATCAATCAAGCAACATGGACTTACGGCATCGAACTCTGGGGAACTGCAAGCAAGTCAAACCTGGAGATCCTGAGAAGATGTCGAAACAAAAACACTGATATTAGTATATATATATACCTATTATCATATATATATATATGAATAGGTATACGTATATATGATATATATTAATATCAACGCTCGTGCGTTCTGACCGCAAATACAACTAATTTGTACAAAGTATTTGAACATGCTCACAATGACAGAGACTATCATCGGAGAGACAGTGCAAGAGGCATCAGAAGATGACTTAGGGATGACCCCGAATCAATCACTCAGTGACACTTGTTGGAAACAATAGTGAACATGTTGTATAGGCTTAAAGCGTGAACATATTCTAGAGCTTACCTTTAGATGTCTCTTCATAGCTAACTTCTAATCAGTATACAAGTATCGTTGCAGTAGCCATTACTAATTGTTTCCAGTGAACAGATTCGAAATTTAGCAGATTGAAAAAAAATGGCTAAGAAAAGGTGTACTGGCGAGGCGGGCGTTTATGAGGCGGTGGTGGCGGCGCGTGTTGCAGGCGCCGAGGCGCAGGCACCCCCGGCGGCGGCAGCTGACGCCATCGAAGCGGTTGGCGGCGGTGGGCGCGCTCGCAGCGACGGTGGCGGCGGCGGTGGCGGCGGCGGCGGCGGCGGAGCGATGGCGGACGCGCGGCCCACCCCCGACTCGGAGTCCGCCGCTGACGACGACGACGCGGGCGACGACCAGCCCGCGCCCCCGGCGCCCAGGTGAGTCGCCCACCACGAAATTGCCGTTTTGCCCACTGTCGGCGAATCTGGCGTAGATTAATGCATGTCTGTAGGTGGAACTGGTGTGTCTTCCAAATAACTTAAATATTTGTACATTAAATTTAATGCTTACGTTGAGATCGGTGTAGATTTAATGGAAAGATTCTCCTGTATCCCCTGCCTCTCAAGATTCATTATCAGCAGTTCAAAAAAATCATTCATTATTTCCTTCCAGATATGACCCTGAAGCTTTGACTATTAACGATAATTATTTTAATGTGCCTTCATGATGATTGTTTGATTAAATTAATGATTAAATTTCTGATAGTGTAGATTTTTTTCAACAGTGACGAGGAGATTAAGTGATCTGACATTTAAATTCCAAGAGAACGGTAATTCTGAGCTTGACATATTGGAAGTTTGTGATATGCCCCATTCTAATACTATTAAGAATGGTCCTGTTGTACGGTCGTGTTTGGTTCAATGGCATAAAATAACATGTATTGAATATTTATTTCTTAAAAAAATATGTTAGGGGGTAAATATAGATTCCATTCCACTCCACGATTTTTAAAATGATCAAAGGTTACGAATGTTGCGTAATGGCAACCACACGAGACGAAATTTACATTTGCAGGAGTCATGGATTTTCATGTCGAACCGACGCTTCGGCTACTATTCCTAAAATGCGGCGTCTTTCAGGCACCGAAGCGACTTCAACATGTCATCGAATTCTTGAAATAGGCATTTCCTTGGCAATTCAAATAATTATGATAATTTCCATGAAGATTAATTATTTTGTACGGTTTCTTTCAGCTCATGATTTACTATAGACATGTTTGGAAATGTTTTTGTGGTTAACAATATAATTATATTTATTAACGCCTAAACTTTGATGCGTGTCGTTTCCACATACATTAATATAATAAATAATAATAATATAATTAATAATAATTGTAATAATAATTCTAAAATATAATTGATAATGCAGAAAATTACTCACTACTTCATTTCGCTATTATGTTTTGGATGGTAAAAGCTAATATGGGGCAGAAGTTCTTATACAAACCCTATCGTTTTTTTAATCCCGAATATGTTGTTTTAATGGTCTTCTCACCAGCTGATAGCAGCTGCTTAGCTCAGCAAACTGCAGAGAAGTATGTAATTTGCAAACAGCATATGTGGGAGTTGCTATTGCAGTGTATATAACAGCCTGATTACTGCGGATATAAGGATCTCGTTGGCAACGATAAGTAATCAATTATTAGTGTTTAATATAGTCTACTCTGGTCCTCATTCATCTTCTCCTTGGCTGGGTTTCGCGTAGGCGCATTTATTGCGGACTTATATGGCGGGGCGGACCTCGCCTGGCCGGGCCAGCTCACCTGCTTATGGAAGTCGCCTAATTTTTGCGATCTTGGCGACCGTTGCACTGAAACTGCTTCCGCATTCAGGGCTAACGCGAAACCTTCCCATTACCTCTACATGTCACGAGTTTGATTATTTTATTGGACGTTGATTATTATGTTGTGAATTTCTAACTGAAGGAGACGTATATTTCTAATTGTGGGGGTTTCTTCACTGCCAGTGATCCTGAAGGTGCTCGTGGTTATTTGGCATAAAAATTCCTAATGATGGAAATGACGAATTATTCTCGGTTCGTATTATTGTGAAATACTTTTAACTCGGGGACACACCAAGCTTTTTCCGAGTTTGATGTTGTGGGGATGAAATTATTTAAGTGGTTTTCGATGTGCGGTAATGGCTTGTGCGTGAATATTTTTTATGCGAGTGAGGGGAAAATTGGGATAAAGAATACATAGCGCCAATTCTTTCACGATACTCATATGCGACCCATTTAACATTTGGGGCATGTTAGTAATGCGTAGAAGAATATTGAATATATCTGTCGAAATATTTTAGAAAGTATCATTCTTTTGTCCTACAACACGATTTAAAAGAAAACCATACAACGCTTATAGAAGATTAGTTCCTATTGGATTCCGGTTGGTTGTGAAGTTAAGATTTTCTAATGTTAATAGCTTTGTAACATTTCATGATACATTTTTTCTGAAATATTACATTTAGTTTTATTAATCGTTTACACTGCGTCATATCATTATAATTATAAAATTTCCTTTCACTAATTTATATGTGTAAATGTTTCAAATTGAGAAAAGTTTACATGTCGAAATTTCTATTTACTACTGGGCAGTTGCAGCAAAAACTATGCAAAGATTCTGCGACATTTTACAAATTCTAATGAAACAGTTAGGTTAAAACATGAAATAATATGTACATGTAAACAAGGATTCAGAATGGCAGAGTATACTAGCGTAAGTGCAATAATTTGCATATGTATTTACATTATGTTTTGTCATTTCTTGTGCGTGTTCCGTAGAAAACTTTGAATATTACTTTCCTACACCGTAAATTCACGAACCATTGAAGTTAATAGTGTACAGGATACAAGTGAGCTTATTGAAAATCGTATTTACTTAAAATAGTTGTCTTTCGGATTGAATATGTCCGTTTATGCTCGTTAAAACATCCTCTTAATATGTTAAAATTGTTAAAGTGCCAAAGATTTCTTCGGGTATCTTCGAGCTCTGGTGCAGATTGCGTTATCTTGCGAAAGCGTTTGAAATTTTCACCGTTCTCACTGGTTTCTATTTCTAATGTCGACCTTTGATACGCTCGATAAAAAAAACTCGAAATCAGCACACTGTATATCAAATGTAACGTTGTTTTATTGTTATATCACGGATGCTTGAGTCAAATGATATCTTGAGAAAACATTTTAAGTACAATGTGATCATCATTTCGAATAACAAAGAGGCAAAGTTGAGTGAGAACCTAATACACTATTGAGTGTAAAACTAATTGGCTATTGAATATCAAAGGAAAAAATTTCGTTGTTTAATAATGCCTCAGTGATTTAAGTAGTTTTTCTCTTCACCTTTTCAAATGTTGTCTGACTTTGCAGTCGTATTATGAATATCAAATTTATGAATGAAATGTATGCCTGCATTAAATCCAGTACCCAGGATGTTATGTAAAATTTCGCTACGCCATCTGCAATTTTTTTCGAGAGGTTGTTATATGATGTTCAGTGGTAGGATTCCACTGTGAAATAAATGAACAGAAACACTTTAAACTGATTGTAGCCTGTCCACATGGTTACATTCTGCGCAAATTCGTATAAAATTGTGAAATCTTTATATTCTCCACATCACATTGATTTTATTAGTGTTTTCAGACGCAATACACCCGAAAAATACTACTCATTTGAATGGAATGACTCAAAATACGTTAGCTGATAAGCTACATTAGTAACTTTCGATTGTCGTTAGTGTATTTGTTCTTTTTTTTTATACTTCATCATGTTTACTTTTTTCCTTAAATAGATAACTGATTGTAATTATTCGTATAAGTAATGTCTTCAATAAGTGTTTTCTTCAGACAATTGTGTGTATTGGTATTGATATATTCTGGAATACTTGCTACAGTTTTTAAATGTTATATTTGTCAGTTTATTTTCTAAGAAGGTATACATTATGTTTACTTCTTTGAATGTGCAGTCTCGTAAAATTACATAGGTGAATTAATAGTGTAATCGGAGAACACAGTGATATGTTCTTTTCCACGCATTAATAACAAAACATACAAATCTACTAATACTATAAAAGAGAAAAGTTTGAATGTGAATGTGTTATAATTGTTTTTCATTACAATATTTCGTCTATTTTAGGGACACAGATTTTTATGATTTTTATGCATAATTTTTAATATTAACCGGTAATTTTTTTCGGGATATTGCGGTAAATTAAAACAAATGTTCAGTATTATTGTGTCGACATGTCGGAATAAATATGCATTTTTTGAGGAAAAAAACAGAAATACCAGTATCATTCGTACTCCGCCAAGGGCTGTAGTTCTGCTCGTGAATGAGCATTGCAAATGAACTGTGTGTAAGTTAGTTTCTCTGATTTCGATAAAGAGGCCGACCTGGATGGACGAGTTGGCTAGGAGCTTGAAACGACTCAGCGCTTTAGTCACGTGGATCGCGGGTTCGAGTTCTGCCTTGGGGGATGGTTGTTTGGCCCCTTGTCTCTCGTGTGTGTTTTGTCGCGAAGGATCTCGCGTTCTGCTGACCCCAGATCAGAGGAGCCCGCGAAGTGTGATAATACCTTGTGTATGTTCAAATATGCGTTCCATTGAGACACGAAGGGTAATCGGCTATGGAAAAGTGCGAAAAAGGTTACGATAGAGATTACTGAAAGGTAGAGTGTGGGGTTTACTACGTAAAATGAGTACACATACTCTGTCAACTGCATATGCAAAGGGCGTATTTAATAAATTCGGAGAATACTAGTATGTATGAAAACAAATAAGATTATGCGCGCTGCGCAGGGGCGAATTAATGAAAAAGCAAACCAAACTATTGATTAGGTCCCCCGCTATATAGCTTTTTTTAAAAAACAAAAACGTGTGGTCATACGTGCGTGAAAAAAAAGTGTTCTTCCATTTCCTTTTCATCGCTAAACAATTACTTTTGTTAATCTAACTATTGTCATATCGTCCCTATTGGCAAAACCACGAATGTGCGTTTTTGAGGGGAAGGCAATTGAAACTTTGAGGTCCCAGTGCAATTACAAATTTCAAATTTAAAAAATTTAAAAGTATTTATTTTTATATGGACTTCAAACTTATAATTGTTCTTTTCTCGAAACTGCACATTCGTGGTGTGGCGTCCCCTACACAGCTCGCAGCAGCGGGTGGCGTGAGCACTTGGGACACGTGTGGAATGCACGACAATGGGCAGGAAGCTGCCGAGGCCGAGCTCAAGGGGTGCAGTTTCAGAGGGTACGTGTCATCTTTGCGCCAGATGCTTCGCAAGTCCCGGGAGTCGCACCTGGGGGTGGCGACGCGGTCACAGCGAGGCTATAAAGGCGCTGACAAGGGGCAGCATTGTTCTTCAGCGTTTGTCGCGAGACGTC